GGGGGGGGGATCTATAGCCCAGAGTGGATTGCATTTTCCTGAGGCTTGAGCTCATCACAACCACAACCTCCATCGTAACCCCCCCACCCCCAAAACGATACCCCCCACCCTGCAGAACCACTGCAGCACTGTGACGCACACATGGTGACGATTGGCTTACCATGCTGGACAGCATCATGCACACAGGGGGAGAGGGATCAGCAGGACAGAGGGAGGGAAAATAAAAGGGGGAGGAGCAATGATGGTTTGGGAGGAGCCCCACAGAGCAAAGAGGGAGTCCTGTGCTGACTGGGGCGACGCCTCCCTCAGAGCGGATTGGCTGAGCTGCGTCTCCAGGGCTGCAGACATTCACGTGGGAGGGGGGCTGGACTGGACTGAAACCCCGTCTCATTTATAGGTCATGCCCAATTCACACACTCAAGTCTGACCAGCCGCTTGCCTTCCCACAATCCAGCACGTGAAGGTAAAACAGCGTTTCTATCAGAGACACACTCTGGGAGTGCTGCACACTCCTGCTGCCTGACAGAGGCAGAGCCTGCAGACACTCCTGTGAGCCCGACCCCGACAAGGTGGGGGGGGGGGTCTGATCCCAGAGCAGCCCTTGCCTTTGTTTTTATTCGCAGATGAAGCCATAAGAGCGGCGACAGCGTGGGGTGTCCTTGCAGGCTTCAGAAACCATGGCGAGGTATCAGAGGAAGATGCCCCCCCCCTCCACTCCACTCTCTTAGCTAGCCATAAATCCTCACGCTTCTTGAGCCCCTCCCCTTAGAAGTGGAGCACAGTCACACGTCTGCTGAAATGCGGCACAGTCGGTATGCAAGGACGGCTCTCGCCTGCCCCAACCATCACGTGGTGGGTCAGTAACGCACTCAGGGAGGGGCCACCGTCATACTCCACAGGAGCTGATCAATCTCCCTAGGCCCCCAGACACATTGTGGCGGCCTCCCACAGCAGAGAGATCTTTATCCACTCTGTATGTCGTACGTGATCTTGGAGCATTGCATCATGGGATAGCGCATGGGAACGCCAGTAATGGGACGTGTCAAAGACCCAGCCCTCCTCTGCAGCAGCCCTCCAACGGTTCATTAGCGTAAACCCAGTGTTATATAACAGAACTGGATGCTGATTGGTGGCAAAGGGGTGCACGTGTGTGCGTGGATGTGCGTGCATGTGTGTGCATGTAAGCATACCCTAAACAGACAGGGGGAGACTAACAGCTTCAGGCAGTGCTGAGGAACACGCCACACTGAGTGACTCCATCCCCATGACTGTCAGAATAGTGGGCAAAGCCCTTGACCCCAAATACTCCCAGTACACAGGCGGACTCTGCTCTCAGATCCTCAGCTGTACGTTACTTTGGACAAAAGCATCTGCGAAATAAATAAACGTGATATAAGAGAACCTACCCTCACTGAAAAATCGGCGAGGTAGAGCGACAGGTTTGTTGAGGGACCTGCAGAGACACACAAGCTCTTAAAGAGCCGTCTGCACTTTGATAAAAGCCCTCAAAAATAACCGCTCTGTACCCAGACCGTTACATGGCCTCAGACAGCTCTGTTCGCTGCCAAATCCCCATCAGCACTCTCCCAAAGAGCCGCCGCTCACGGCTCGGCCCCGAGGAGACGGAGCTCCGCACAGGGGCCTCCCGCTGCAGACTGATGGGTAGTTTGGGTGAAGTGGAACATGACAACCTTCCATCGACAGGCAGACAGGCCTCCTAAAGGCACAGGTCTGGCCGAGAGGTCATAAAAAACATCCATCTGCCTCCCATTGTCATCAGTGGCGTTCAAAGACAGATATAACAGGACAGAGTCCGCAGCTGATGCCTGCCCAATGAGGAACCCATCTGCTCCCCAAACATGAGGCCAGGGGTGATCGTGACAGAGGGGTAAATGGGGGGGACGGGGGGGACGGAGGCCTGTCAGACAGTTCCTGCTCCTCCCCACTTCTGTATTAAGTAAGCATGGAAATCGGCGTTGACATGAGACCGCGCCAGACACTCGCTGTAGAGATGTACGCTTCCAGGTCATGTGACGGCTGTACGCGCTCCCATGTGGCAGAGCGGCACTCTGCTATGTCTCTCGCCTCTGGGGTTCTACTGCTAAAAAGGAGCTTGACCCCAAACTTCAGGTCTCTCCTCCTTAATCTGCCACCATGGTTAAAGTGCAATGGTGCAAGTCATGGGTCCATCGAGAGGGCGACGGGGGATTCGAGCCCCGAGCATGGGAAGTCCTGCTTGCCATGGTCTTTGGGTCCTGGATTTAAAGGACATGGGGAACTGAAAGCCGTCCTGCCACGTGCCCAACATCAACACCCCGTGGTCTGAATGAGAAACCGGCCGGCGGTCAGTCCTGATGACAAGGACCCGACGACATTGGTGCCAAAAGGCCGGGATGCGATTGGTCCCCGGGTTGGAGTCCACATACGTGGCCATGCCCCCTCTGGGCCAGCCCAAGGGCTCCGCTCTCATGGACGGGATGATGCATGGGGGTCGCTGTAAGGACCACTTCACGTCCTGCCCTGCTGCCTGAGGGCCCAGAATGAGGACCTTAAAAAGTGTAACGATGCAGAAGCTGTTACGCTGGCTGAAAGCCTCCCCGAGCAAGGGGAAGAGCCATGAAACAGAGAGGGGGAGAGGCAGGGCGGGGGGGGGGGGGGGCAAGTCATGCTGTCTCACAGTTGCAGTGAATCATGGATCCGGGGGGTGGGCCTGTTGGTAGGGTGTCGAGGAGACAGCTCACAGCGTGCGACTCGCAATCGGGAGCGGACTGCGGCCGGATGTGTGGAGGGAGTTTGCCAGGCGTTTCGGGAAGATTCGCATTTACGAATCGTATGGCTTGACCGAGACCAGCATCGGCTTTGTGAACTACACCCGGGAGGTCGGGCCCATCGGCCGCGCTGGATACTTCAACAAGGTCAGATCTTACCACAACATTGATGCGTTTTAACATCTAAATAGCATCATTTCGTATAACCAGTTTGAAAATGCTAGATTTGAACCCTTTTCAGCTGATCAAATATGCCACTACTGCCAGTAAAGGGTATCAGCAGTTAACCCTTGTTTTATTTGCTTTTGATGTCATCCCATTAAACATATATGTCACAAGAGGGTTAATGAGACATGCCAGTGATCAAGAGGAAATCGAGCAACAATGTTGTTCATGGGAGTTTTACTTAGACAAAAAATGTTCTGAGGGCAGAATGAAAAATGATTGGTTCAGAGAAATAACCAATCAGATTGTAGAGGAGGTGGGTCCAAGCAACTAGAGGAGGCAGGACCAAAGAATCCTCTAGTTCACAGGTGTCAGGTTTGGATGCTGTACAACCGAATAGTTACTTCAGCATTAGTTCAAATACAAGAACTCGTGGCCATAGGTGGAAATTAGCGGGAGAACATTTCAAACTGGATTTAAGGNGCGTGGGGCAGGAGGCAGTGGAGAGGCGAGAGGTGGCCTGAGCGCGCGGTGATTCGGAGGGGGTGGTGCTGAGAGACGCTGTGTCCCGCGGAAGCACCTGGACACCCCGCGAAATGATGGAGTCCGGAATCTGTCCCATAGGCCATGGGGGGGGGGGAGGGAGAGAGAGAGAGAGTGATCAGTCAGGTAAATTGCCAGTGGTCAGAGGACAGCAAAAGTGACCAAAACCGTGAGCCTCACAAAGCAGTGATGCTTCTGGAAACATGGCTTTTCCTATGGAAGCATCTCATCCTGTGATGAATGGGAGGGAAATGACAGCAGGTGACAGACGGTAAGGAAATTACGAAGCGAGAGAAAGAGAGGGGGAGGCTCAGCGGAAGTGAGTGAATGAGAAGCGGAGAGAGGGAGAGGGGCGTGGCAGGATGAGGGCAATGAGACAATGTGGGCGGGCCGTGAGGGTGTGGCTGACGGAGAGTGCTGATTGGCTGATTGATCCCCCCTACACAGTCTTTTCCTTAAAATGACCATTATTATTTTTTTTTTACAGTTTTTTTTAATCTCTTGCAGACAGAGGTCCATCGTTTGTTGCAGGTTGCAGGAGGGCGGCGTCTCGGGGGTGAGATCCTGCAGAGTCCCGGCAGACGGGCACCACAGTCACCAGTGACTGCTGCCAAGAGGGGCCAGAGGGACCGTCACAGCCGGATGGGCGGCCAGCAGCACCTCAGCCATGGGAGGGAGGGGGGAGCACGGAGGGGACGGGGAGACACAAGGATACTCTCTATGAGGTACTAGGAGGGCAGGAAAAGGGCAGAGGAGCCCTGTGCTGGGGGGGCCTGAGGGTCTTACCAGCAGCTCTCCAGCACTGCGAGTGCGATCATGGAGGGTGAGGCCATGGATGGACAGTGGACACCTTCTGACATGACAACAGGAAGTTGGCCACACTGATGGAGGACACAGCACACATCATTTGGGACATGGGGGAGCATGGTCACTAACGGTCACTGATGGTCAGTACGTCACTCAACAATCAAACAATCAATCAGTAACAGCCAGTAACAGTAACGATCACTAACAGTCAATAACGGTCACTCAGTCAGTAACTGTCAGTAACAGTCAGTCAGTCAGTAATGGTCACCAACGGACTTTTAATCATTAATGGTCACTGAAGGTCAATAACGGTTACTAATAGTCAACAGTAACTATCAGTCACTCATAAAGTAATCAATCAGTAACTATCCGTAACACTTATTAAAGGTCACTCATTCAGCAACAGAAATGTTCAGTCAGGAATGGTCAGTTACAGTCATCAACAGTCAGCTGTAGTTATGAGGCAGTCCTACCGTCACTCGGAGTCACTCGTCACTGCTCTTAGTAACCAGTGGTTGCCCACTTACTAACCATGCTCCTACAGACAGGTGAGGAGATGTTAGGATGAACATGGAGAGGTTGGGTTCATACTCAGGTACTACAGTGACCGCATGGTTCAGACCCAAACAAAGTGCCGTTTACATGCTTTTGGGCACGATTTCTTCACAGTTGGTTATCATGCAGTGTGACACCGGTGACTTATAGGTGTCCCTGTCCCTACTCCGTCGCTGTTACCTTGGCAGCGATGGCGGCGGCGGTGATGTGGGAGGAGGAGCTGTCTTCGGTGGAGGCCACGCCGCTGTCCTTCTTGTCCTCGTCCTCCTCCTCGCACTGGACGCCCTTGTCCTCAGTCTGCTTGTGTGGGCCAGTGGCGGGCAGTGGGGACAGCGGAGGAGGTGGCGAGGGCAGGTCCTCCAGCTCATCCTGCACCTCCTTCACCTTGACCACAGCGTCCCGCAGAAGGTCGATGGCATGGGGCAGTGCGGGCAGGATGAATTGGAAACATTCCTGGGGGGGGGTGGGGGAGGAGGGCAGAGGGTGAGATATAAGGCAACATTACACTGACTGGCTCACACACCCCTCAGAGGGCAGTCTCCAAGCAGCACACTGAGCCCTGATTGGCTGAAAGTCTTGTTCATCACTCCCACAGAGCCTTCACTGGGTACTTTAAAAGCATGTCTGAACCTGCCCCCTCCCTGTGTCCATGATGGCAGCTTCTGCACGATCGGCACTGATTCCTCAGAGAGTGTGGAGGACACAGGGCCCCCTGGTGACAGCGTCAGACCCTGTTAGCATGGTGAGGCTGAGGGGTGAGGTCCGGGCATGCCACCTGTCTCCCTGTCACCGGGGGGGCAGTCCACCGCTCTCCAGCTCAGGGTGACGCCAGGTCAGGGCCCGGTCCTCCAGTGTCGCAGGAAACCAGTGCCACTTTCGCAGAATCCAGCTACAATTTATTCCAGCACTGTTTACTGAACTGCACCATAGATCATGTTCAGAAACATTAGGCATTAAAATTTCACACTTTGCTTCCAAATGTATGTGTTTGTATTTATGTTTGAGCACAAAATCACAACATGATACTGAGGACTGAACTACATGCTTCCCGGGGGAAGAACAGCGATACTGTCCTAAACAGGGCTGAAATAACACTAAACCAGGGATCCTGGGCTCCCATTTAGTACGAGTATCATAGTAATATCTGTTCCCAGTCACAGCGGGCCTGGCCTCCTGTTAAACTGAAGAGAGGAGATCCAGCCAGAACATTTTAATTGGCGTCTGTGTGCTCCATAAGGCACAGCACGGGCCCCTTCCTGATAAACAGATTGTCCCTCCTGCTCCCCTTGTGGACGCAACGGGAGGGGCGAGGCCCTAATCACGCTAACCGCCACAGTACGGCGCGCTCCCGCCCGCCTGTCCTCTCCCCAGATCCCGCTAGCTCCACTCGAGGCTCGGACTCTCGAATTAACGGAGAGGCCTCGAAAGGCGCACTCGTTTTCGGCCCTCGTCCCAGAGACGATGGGAGTTGGGTGGCCTGCCGATTCCTCCCAATTAAGGAGGCGCAGGGAGGAGGCGTGGGGAGGACCCGCTGCAGCATGTGGCTACATTTTCATAACGGTAGCTTTTATGTGTAGTTAAGGCTCCTTCAGAGCAGAGGTCTGATGGCTGGGAGGGAACCAGCCTGCTTATCGGGACAGGAAGTTCATGAAACATCTCAGAGGAGAGGGAAGCTCACACACACACACACACACACACTCTGTCCTCTTACCTGCGAGCCCTTCTTACTGCCAGGCAGGTTGATGATGAGGGTCTTCCCCCTGATCCCGCACACAGGCCTGCACGAGCACAGGGGCAGGCCCTCAGTCAGACAGCCCTCAGGCTGACCTCCGCCCGCCCCATTGGAGGCCTCAGGCTCTTACCTGGACAGCATGCCCAGTGGCGTGACGTTGAGGGACCCCATGAGCATAGCCAGGGCCATGCCGGGTGCCTCCCGCTCAATCACCTCCTTAGTGGCCTGTGGGCAGATAGGGGGAGGGGGCCAGCTCAAGGTATTCAGAATAAAAGTGTATAAGCCAGTGACCACCCCCCCCCCCCCCGGACCGTGAGGCAACAGAAGGACCATGGGATCACTGGATGGGTAACCAAGCAACCAGAAGGACCATGGGATCACTGGATGGATAACCAAGCAAAAGGAAATGACCATTTTTCAAAGGAAAGAAATTACTGAGGTGCTACAACTGCTACCCCCGGGATGGGACCATGAACAGCTGTCTTGTTTATGGTGGGGAAGATAAGTCCATCGGTCTCTGTCAGAACAGCGCCACCTAGTGGCTAAACTAAGAGATCCAGAATCTCAGTACTTTGGGATGTTCTTCAAAGAAGCAGTCGGCCTGAGCTGAACGCACCCCAATCCCCACCTGGGCCCCTGGGAACTCTGAGACTATCTGACTTCCTTGGAGACCTCATTCTCACTCAGACGCTGCATATCAACCAAAGCATGAGCCACGGCAGGGCAGACCGGGGCCTCCTCCTGTTACCGGGCTGCCTGTGCATCTCTACGGGAGCCAACCGCAACGCCAATGTACAGCTTAATGAAGGAAAAACAGCCAATTAAGGGACTGTTAGCTGAGAATTGAATGAAAGAAAAGAAATAAAAAAGCACCATTGTACTCTGATAATTATATCAAATATCCTTTAACCAAAAAGCAAGTGCTATTTGCAGTCAGATTCGTTTACATCACAGCACGCTATCTGCTGCGACAGCAGGAACACTCTCCGTAAGGGTATCACGCCTTTCCCGAGCACCAGCGTGGGGAGTGATCCAGCACCCCGCCGGGCGCTGACACAGAACCGGGGCACGAAGCAGAGGCTGGCTGGAGACCCGCTCCGGGCTTGGCCATTATTTCCCCCGGGCCCGGAAACTTAATTACGCTGCATAGCAATCAGCGGCCGTGATGCGAGACTGCGCTGAGCGACGCGCGTGTCAGCTGGTGAGGAGTTCGACCTCACCGACGGCTCCGCTGGGACCGATTCTCAGACCTGGAGTCAGAACTGCGGCTGAGGCGCACCGTCACGTGGCGTTAGAGGAGGCCCAAGTGCTGACGTCCGCCACAGCTCGCGTTTTGGTAGCAGAGGTTGATACATAAGGGCTTGAAAACCAAGAGGCCATTAAAGACTCTACAAGGGCATCTGCTGGTGCTTTCTTTGTATTTACCTCTGGGGTGACATCACGTGGGGCAAACCCAGTGCCCCCGGTGGTCAGGATGAGGTTCAGCTCTTTCTCATCACACCAGTCCATCAGTGTCTCCTGGAAAACCAAGAAATATGGGGGTGGGTGAGCCATGAACCCCAGCGCCCCAGAAAACCGAGAGGGAAGGGAAACCTTTTACCTTGATCTCGTCGATCTCATCTGGCACTATTTTGTAGGCAGAAACGATGCCCCCCAGCCTGAAATGAAGGAATGACAGGAGCTGAGAAGCACATCTATTCAGCAGCGAGAATGAACAGTCATCTTCCTCCTCAGCCCCGGCCCTGAGGAATGAATCACTCTAAGTTAGAGACCTGGTACTTCCTCAGCACAGAGGACACCCCAGTGCTGGTGTGGGACAACATCTCCCTTGGCAGCATGTTACCATGGCGTAGGGACAACGTCCAGATATCCAAATATATACACACAACGTGTAGGCCTACATCACAGGGCATCTGTCATAATACTGTCATTGCTTTGGTCTACAGCAGGAGTTCTCAGTCTTTTTTGCACCATGACCCAATTTATACCCTGTCAGCTCAGACATGACCCTATATCAATAAAGGTTTAAATAAATTCTATGATCAAGCAGTGCACTCTGCAAATCTGATTGGATGTGCCAGTGAATTTTAAATTAAGCATCTGTGGTTTATCTTCTTGGATTGGTTGAGTGTTCACTAGTTTTGCACTAATCAGTGGCAGACCCAATATAGGGTAATTCTAGGACTGGGGCTGGGAAAACTGATCATGGATCAGCATAGGAGCTTGCTGGTTTTAAAATGCTTACGTTTCCAAATCTTCCTCGCGGCCCTTTCAGAACTTGGGTCGCGACCCATGGGTTGAGAACCGGATGTTTTTGTTAGAGTCCCACAAACCCAGAAATAAACAAGATTTCAGCTTCATTTTGATTTCAGTATCCCATCATCCATGGCCATTATCTGCCACAACATTTTTTATTGTAATATTATGAAACACAGGGTATGTATACCACGCTGTTGCTACAGCTGTACACTAATTAGTTTAAATAGTGTGCATTCATTAAAATCAGACCAGCCTTAGAAAGCCTCTTTTCATAAATATCTAGTGATGGCTGTTATACACACGTCATACTCAAGAGAAGCTGAATGATGGACGAGCAAATCACCATTAGGAAAACTAAGCATGTGTATTGTCGCCCCCTGGTGGTACACTTATCTGTGACTAAGAGAAAAGAAACCAGCGAAGTCACCATTAAACTCTGATAGCCAACCTGTCATTTCCCTGAACCAAAAACTTAGAAACATTTTCTCCCCCACAACTGCGCTACATCCATGAAACGCAAGGTATTGACACAAAACACAACATCGCTACAAGCTGACAGAACAGACTCGGCATTTCCCCCTAGAATAAAATCATGTTGTCTGCGGGATGTAATACTGTCTAAATAAAACAAGACAGCTCGAAAGGGTCCATGCTTATATTTCTAGAGAAAAATATTAGCATTTGCAGTGCATGACTACAACATGAATGAATGGTACATTTATATAGCACCTTTCAGGACTTTACAGAACCAAAGGGGAGCCACTTCAACCACCAGCACTGAGTATCACCCTGGATGATGCGACAGCAGCCATTCTGCACCAGTACACTCACCACACAGTGGCTAAGAGAATTCACCAGTTAGATATAGAGGATGATTAGGAGGCCAAATTTGAAAGGGCCACAGTGGGCAATTTAGCCAGGGCATCAGGGTACCACTCCTCCTCTTTTGAAGGATATCCTAGGATCCTTTATGACCTCATACAGTCAGGACCTCCGTTTTACGTCTCATCTAAAGGACAGCACCATTTTTACAGCACAGTGTCCCCATCACTGCACTGAGACATTGGGACCCACACAGACCACAGCAGGGGCTAACCTGGTGGCCACACCAACACCGCTTCCAGCTGCAACCCAGCTGGTCTCCGATCCAAGTACTGGCCAGGCTCAAACCTGCTTAGCTTCAGCTGGATTACCGAGGCCTAACTGCAGGTGGTATGGCTGCAGACATGCATTGAGGTGGCAGGTAAGAACCAGGAGCGCATCTCCATCCTGCCAACCCCAACCCCGAAATGGGCCGGAGCAGTTCCATCACTCATTGCTATCACAAAATAACTGCTCCCGTTCCCATTAAATGTTCTTGGGTAATTCATAATTAATAATCCTTGGTCCGGATCCGCATAACACAACCTCCAGGTTTACGCAAATATCTCTAACTATTACGAGACAACTCATATTGATGTTATTTTTTTTTCCTCAGAGCCATCGTTACACTTACAACGCAGATAATGCCAATATTAAATATTAATAAGTCAAAAAATGCCAGCTCTGAGCAGATCTGCCACATTTGGATGTATACATTTCATTTATTATTTACTTAGCAGGCATAATTATCCTCTCGGAAAAGCTGGGACAACATCTTTGCTGCGAGCTTGGAGCCTGCAGTCCAAGCTGGGAGGGGTTAGGAAGTCGGAGTCGTTTGCTGGTGTGCATTCTGAGTGCCTGGGATTCAGCACTATGACAGCTACATCAGCTCAATAATCAGACACACTGACACAGGGATCGGGCCCTTTGCATTTCAAAGGAAACAAAGAATTGGTTTCTAACCGGAAAAACTGCAATCTTTCAGCTAAATTCATTTAAATCCCCAACTCACACTCCGTTCCTGTGTGTATCTGATTTAGTGATTAAGGCTCGCATCCCCATTCACGGTCCAGGAAATGCTGTTTGGATTTGGGATCGACACGGGAGAAAATCTGATGCGCAAACAGTACTTGTACTAGAGCCAATAGGCGGATTTGTGCAACTGTCTCCTCTCCTAGCAGTAAGAGTTACTGTGCTGAATTATGGAGAGATTCTGCTGAAATTAAATGAAAGAGATGAAGGGAAAACACCTTAACTGGGTCGGCCAGATCTGTTACAAAAGAAGCTTTGATTACCTCGCGCTTAAAGCTCTCTGTAAACCTGAGATAAGAGGAACTAGTTTATGTGCTTCTGTCTCTGTATCCATACACGGGTGTGTGTGTGAGTTTGTGCACGTGTACGTGTTATGAATGGCTGTTTATGCATCTGCACATATGTGCATCTGTGTGTGTGACAGCAAGCGTGCGAGGATCTCCACGGCTCAGCTGCCGCCTCCTCGTGCCGCTGCTCCCCAGTCCTGGGACACCTCCCAATAAGGAGTCCTCTCCGCTCAGATTACTCAATCCATTATTCACCGCATTTACGCAGCAATTTTCATCCTTTCTCAAAGCACCCCCAGCATGGCGGCCTGGCCTAAGGGAGCCAAGCCCCACTAGGTGATATGCAGTTCCCCCCCCGCCCCCCCCCCAAAACTTGGCCTGCGGATATTTCACCACCACAGAGCCACACCATCCCCGTGCACTCAAGCACAGAAAAGCAATCAATTCACTAATAATTCAGCCGAACATGTGACCAAACAAGAAAAGCTGCCGTACACCTGAGCCAGGATTTCGCTTTAGCTAAATATCTCACATTATAAACAGTTGTAAAATGTAAAAATGTACAAACACTGCAAGGCTCTTTGGGAAAAGAGGCATCTGCCAAAAATCAACAACAGAATAAACATAAATCTTCCGAAAACAAAGAAGCGGGGATGCAGCAAGGCCTGAAAAATGCGTCACTGGTCTGCAATCTGGCTGCGATTTGGCACGGCTTGCATCTTAACCATTGTGGTCTGTCTCACTGAGCACAAAAAGCAAAGCAGGAGCCGTTCCCCCTGGACTAGTTACATGGGAGGCTTTATGGGGGGGGCTGACTGGGCTATGTGATCATTGCCCGATGGCAGTGCCCCGCCTTCCGTGGCCCTGGCGTTCAGCTGTGACAGGAGGCGCTGTCCCCCCGCACCCCGGACAAACTCCCAGCCAGCTCCCGCCACCTGCTCACATCAGCATCTAAAGCCTGCTGCTTACACCTTCTTGCATCAGTTCTCCCTCCCTGCTATTAGCCGTCACGTTCGATTAGAGGCGAAGCTCTCGGCCGACTCCGGCGGGCAGATGAAGGTCGGCCCAGGGAAATAAATTTGGAGGGAGAAAGAGGTCCCGAGTGGATTACAGCTTGCGATCGTTGGGGAAACGCCACTCGAACGTCCCTGAACAATTAAGCCGGACCTGCCTCTGAAATGAGACGCACTCCGCCTCCTTCCCGTCCCTCTGTAAAGTCTGCAGTTTCTAGGTCAGCATCTAGGTCCGCGCATCGCGGACATCGGCGCATTCCAGCCGGGAGCGAGGCTGCCGCAGATGCGTCAATGTCCTACTAGTCCCACAGGTCCTGGGATATCGTCGCTGTGTTTTAAAGATGCCTGTTTTTTCCTCACCTGCGGTGGCACACGGCTCATATCAGTTCAGATCGTGGAACAATGACGAATACTCAGTAAGGGGCTGTGATCTGAAGCCATAAAAATATCGAGGTACTCCCCAGTGAATCTCAGTGACGCAAAATGGAGAACTGATCAAATATTACCTGTCATCCTCTCTTTATGACCACATTTCACCTTTAGAGAGGCTTAATTTCATTGTGTGTTTACTATAAGTTATTCCATATCTTAATTAAACAAGTTATGATACAATACATGTGTGACATCCATTAAAACTTAAAATGAGATCAAGTAGAAAGCTAAAATAAAAACCAGACAAGATGATTTGCGGGAAAACAGACCACTGGGCTTAACTGCACGCCGTTTAGTACCAGACTGGACCTCCCGGGAGGCTGCCAGCTAAGAAAAGCACCTAACCCAATTATTTAAATGAGTAAGATGTAAAAAAGGGATGCAGTGGCATTTAGGTATCTGCAGAGAAAGGCATTCAAACAGACGCCAAGAACACGGCCTGGACTGCTGGGCTGTGACCCAGCCTCCACTCAGCCCAAGCCAGAGAGTTTTGCTAAAGAGACAAATTTAATAATGAAAGAGAACCCATCTGCTCTCAGTGTCAGAAACAAGGTCCTCTACCCCTCGATTAATTATCCCCTCGAACCAGCAGACCCTGACAGCATCCACCTGTGAAACCAGGGTCTGCGTCTGCGAGAAGCACTGGAGCGTTCAAATTCCCCTTCTCTGAATGTCCGCGAGCTTTCACCAGCGAGCACCCCTCCCCCACTGGACTGTGATCTTTCTTAAGCATGGGTCACCCCCCCCCCTTCCCTGGTCCCAAGAGTATAAACACCCCACCCCCTATCCAATCGCATAGACTGTTCACAAGATGAGGGGTTGTTGCACTGGTGAGGATCCCAGGCCTCTGTGACGTCACTGCCATTCAATTCTGACTTCCATCTACATATAACTGACATGGCAATCGAGCACAGCTTGGGGGTCGAAATCCACCACCAC